TATATATATATAAAATATAAAATAATTTGCAATTAACATTCCTTTTACCTTGCTTTCAAATAAAGACTGTGTTAAATGCCACTTCAGTGTGGCTATATTGGAACACTCACTAGTCAGAACTGTTTAAAACTTACGGGGTTTATTCTCCTTTTGTCAAGCATTTTCTACATACAAAACATTCATGTGGTATAGAAGTTACAGAAGAAAAATGCATGAGACAGACTACTGCAAATAAGTGAGTAACAGACAGTTTACATGATTCTTTTTTGTTCACAATGGAGAAAAGTTGTTAAAAACAGATTCAGTAGCTAGGAATGTAAGCAGACTCTTATCTTAGTTAAATCTCCCTACCAAGAGGTTTGCTCAATCTAAAGAGAGATCTACTGTACCACACAGGGCAGGATGCTAAATGCACGCAAGATTACAATGCTAGAAAATTCCAGATTTCTAAGCAATTTTACACAATCAAAACAGCAGTAAAATTTTGTTTAAAAAAAAAAATATTTATTTTCTGATTACCTTCAGTAAATGGAGGTCAGTTTAAGAGCTTGTAAGCATACCTTAGAAAAACAAAATTAAAAATACTCCCAAACTTTTAAGTCATTGCTCCAAGTCTGGATAGTTGTTTACTGCTGGCTTTCTGATCCTACCGACTTGTTATTCTACCTCTGGGAAACTTATTTTTCACATTTACATGTTTAACCATTGTTCATATTAGAATTCTAAGTAAACAAACTATAAAAAATAGGTTTTTGTTGGTTTTTGCACTAATCCAATTGGATGCATGGAATACGAAATCTGTTGAGCTAGTCAAATGGTTTAACAAATGTGGATCAATGGTACAAAAATGTTATCTACTGGCTATAGACTTCAGTTCTTTGCATTTTTAGTTTCTCAAAATGCATTTTGTTTGTTTTAAAATAACAGTTTCTGCAGCGATAGAAGTGAAGTTTTGTGATGCCAGGTTTTTAGAATGTGGTTTACTCTGAAAGGATAAATGCAATGTTTCTCTTTAGTAGAACTGAAACTCCTTGCTGATGCAACCCTGTGATAGCTGACAATCTTGACATCTGTTTTTTTCTACAAAAAAGTTTGTTTCTGCAAGCAGCTCTCTCAACTAAAATTCACCATAAAAATAAACTCCTCAAATTGCAGTGATCATAAAACACTGCAAATATTTCTCCCTTTTTTCTCTCCATGCAAGTTCCACAATTTGAGACTAGCAATCTGATACCAAAAGTTTATTTCTCATGACAAGCAAACCTTTAGACGCAGTGCAAATAAATTATAGAATTTCTATGCTTTACCTTTCATGTGAGACTTTCGCTTCAAGGCACAGAAAGATTAAACAGTGGACTGGACAGAACAGGACATAACATTTCAGTTTAAGGAGTCAAAGGTTGTACAACAGCTCTTATTTTGTGTCTGAAGCAAACCAAACCAAAATTTGAATCATATTTAAGTCTTCCATTTATGAATGTAAATTATCATATTAAATTACCTGAAGGTTTTTTTCCTCCTACTTCCTTTAAAATAATGTATGATACTTATCATAAATTTCAATATTTAGGTATTTTCAGTCAAAAACCACAATCTTAACTGATAATTAATAGGGAGTACCATGATCAATTACACATTCTTTTAGTAACTTTTATGTGGAAGTTGATTCAAATTGTGTTCAAGTCAAACAAATAGCAGGTATAGAAGAGTCTAACAATTTAAAATGAAAGTTGTGAAAATTTGAAGAATGGTGCAATTTAAGTGCAATGTACTGTAAAACTATTAATTCAATATATATCTAAGTCAGATCCTTATACTTCTCCAACCCAAATTACTGTGTTGCCTTTCTCAACTTCAGTGATTTCACAATTTAACTTATTGAGCCGTCCATCCAGGATAAAGAGAGATTCCTTGGAAGGGGTCATGAGATACTGACCAAAAAGGCCACTGTCTTCTATAAGACGGTTCTTAGTGTTCCAAGGCCATTCACCTGCCTTGACAGGCTCCTTCAGACTCTTCACCATCTTAACCTTGCCAGAGGAGAGCTCCACAAAGAGAACATCAGTTTGTGTGCTGGAGCTACAGTAGACATTGTATTGATGAGCTTCAGTGAATGATGGCTGAAAAGCTACATCAGATATGTGCAAATTGGTGTGAATGTCAAATGCATCCTGTATTTCTCCTCTCTTTGTTATGGACTGGATCCTCATAAGACCTTTTGCATCATCAATGCTGACAAGGTAGTGTCCATCTGGAGAGACATGTGGTGTGCCTGTTATGTCGCCATTGTATCCAATCACAGAATCCGTAACACTATCCACTATAAGCTGCGGTAAGACAGCCCCAGTGGTATCAGGCTTACAGCAGACAAAAACATATCCTCCAAGATGTGTGTAAGCCAGTGACTGAGGAATGCAATTATAATCCTTTAAACTAATTGTCTTGATGTACGTCATAGTTTCTAGATCAATTTTCTGGAGCACAGACTCATCCTTATGAAGAATAAATCCAAATCTGGAAGGAAAAGCACAAAATCAAAGAAAGTCAGAGCTATTGTGTGCATTTTGTACAAACGGGGAATACCATTATAAACAAAGTAGATGAGTTAATATGTGCAGCAGTGTATTGCTATATATCTCAGCTTCAGATGTTTCAGATATTAAGCAGTTTATAATATTTAATTTTTAGTGTTCTTGCAATTGTAATTTAGAATGCATCAAATAAAATGTCTAAAAACCTAAATCTGATTAATAGGAAAACTGTTTTTTTCCTACTGACATAGGGGAAAATTTAAACATTACTCTAAACATATCTATTAAGATATAACTTTTACAAAACCCTGGAAGGAGAAAATGATTAAAAAATCAATGGATAGTACAACCCCCATTTTAATTCACTTCATACAGTTGTTCTTTCTTGGGAACATCAACTTAATCCAGCACTCATTTTTATTCAGATAATTATTTGAATTTTCCTCATTTTCATTCAGTAGAAATGAATATCATAAAGAATTTAGGTTTAAACCTCCCAACTATCCAAGACCCATATTTCTTAAAATTTAAATGAGCCTTTACGTTTTTCCATACATCAAGAAATTTTCACTGAGCATGGATAAAACTTTAAAATCCTAGAACTAAATGTTTATAACATCTTAATTATAAACTATACATCTATTCTGTAATGTTAACAAATAAGTTCTGACTGCACCATCATTTGACTGTATATATGCAAAAACCACTGCTCTAAATATTATGGAGTCATGTGAAAGTATATTAGTTTTGCTTATAATCTAAGTAGCTTTCATAGAACTTTTCCCAAACAGCTGTTTGCCTTTGGCACATTTCTTAACATAACAATTTCCTCTGAATCTTTTATCCTAAGAATGAAACTGTGTGTTGATATATAATCTAAAAATACCTTTCACATCCTGTTGATGTAAAGCACTATGACAGGCAGAATGTTTCAGCAGTTGAGTTGACAATAGCACAAAATTTTCACGCTGTGCTTTGCAACCCCAATGTATTTACTAATCAGTGAAACACCAAGTAACAGGCAAAAAGGTTTCAGGACATTGTTCAGTCAGTTCCTCCAACATGAGACAGGGTTAATTATATTTTAATTGATTATATTATATTCCATTATATTATATTATATT